GGCCTCATTAGCTAAAGTGGTGCTTCAGGTTAAGAACAGTTTCAGGTCAAGTATGGACCTCCGGAACGAATTAAGTACTTAACCCGAGGTACCACTGTACTGTGTTTCTATCCCCACTTCTTCCCTTTTATTGATTCTAGGAGTTCCCCTGGTTTTGAAGTCTTTGCTGCTTTGAGAAGAGGCCCTCCCTTCTCAGAGAGCATGGTGGAATCTCCCTTTTAGGGCAGAACTGTCAAACTCATGGCTGCCTGTTTTCTATTAGCAACCAACAGAGCGCACAAGACAGAGACTCAAGCTCTTGTTTTGAAGTTTACCTGGGGCTACATAAATTATATTTACCGAGCACTTGGCAGGCTGCAGTACAAGACCGGCGTGTTACAACTGAGGCCCCGTGGGGTTGCTGGCTTGGCAGGTCTGCCCCAGGAGCCATCCTTCGTCTAGCAAATCTTAATGGGGCAGTAACAAGAAGGCCAGAACATGACAATCTCACTTAATTTCAAATGAATGAGTTGTATATAAAATGCCCATCTGAAGAATTTGCAGAGGGAACCAATTTTGTACCAAAAATGACATCTCTCCCCATCCCCTGGTTGACATAGGTTAACTGTTTGGTCAGACTCATGTTTGTAGCTTTGAGAACACTGTCCAACCATCTCGTCCTCTGTCGTCCCCTTCTCCTTGTGCCCTCCATCTTTCCCAACATCAGGGTCTTTTCCAGGGAGTCTTCTCTTCTCATGAGGTGGCCAAAGTATTGGAGCCTCAGCTTCAGGATCTGTCCTTCCAGTGAGCACTCAGGGCTAATTTCCTTCAGAATGGATCGCTTTGATCTTCTTGCAGTCCATGGGATTCTCAAGAGTCTCCTCCAGCACCATAATTCAAAAGCATCAGCCTTCTTTATGGTCCAGCTCTCACTTCCATGCATCACTACCGGGAAAACCATGGCTTTAACTATACGGACCTTTGTTGGCAAGGTGATGTCTCTGCTTTTTAAGATGCTGTCTAGGTTTGCCATCGCCTTTCTCCCAAGGAGCAGGCGTCTTTTAATTTCGTGACTGCTGTCACCATCTGCAGTGATCCCCTTCATGGATCACTGCCTTGCCATGGCGAAGGGGCTTGAATAACTCAGAGAAGCTGTGAGCTATGCCGTGCAGGGCCACCCAAGATGGACAGGTCATAGTGGAGAGTTTTGACCAAACGTGATCCACTTGGAGCAGGAACCGGCAAGCCCCTCCAGTATCCCTGCCAAGAAAACTCCATGGACAAAGGCAACAGGCATTTCCAAAGTAAAGCCCTTTAAACCATTTACATGTTTGTTTTCTATCTTGGCAAGCACTTGAGAGGCAGGTGGATTGTTGGGGGCAAGAAAAGATGCATTGCGGAGTCATGAGGACCTGATGTAACTGTGAGGGGAATGTATGGCTGCACATCACCCTACCCAAAGGCCATTGCTGATTTCTGCCCAGCCCTGATTCCTGGTGTGAGCAGCTTCTTCTGATGTCTGCATATTGTCACATTTTACTCTGCACCCAAGAAACCTAGGAGGTTGCTTTTTAAAGGAGGCATAAGACAGGTACATGATTTCATGCTTGTGCTTCCTGGCCCTGAGTAGTTTAGGAGGATAAATGTGAACTGAAATCAGCATATAAAAAAAAATAGGCAAAGCATTTTCCCCACCTTGGTCATCTAAAACAAAACCTTTTGCTTTTTCTATGTGCTCTTATAGAAAAAATGAAGGTAAACATTGGAAGCATACTGCATAAATACTCTGATAGGACAAGGTTTCTTTACTTGACAGATTTCTTGAAAACACCAGCTTCTGCCTCAGAGACAAGGTCAGAGGGAATGCAGTTTACCATCTTTAGCCTTCTTTTGTAGCAATTATTAATGTCGAAGTCATGCATATAAAACAGCAGTTATGAATACATGTGCGTAATGCATAACAGATGGGGGAGGGGGTTGTGCAAGCAAATAGGCTCTTTCCAGGATTTTAATGAGTGCTACAGAAGGCTTTTGTTAATATATAATGCCAAACATTCACTACTAGAATGCTGGTGAACGAACGAGACCCCTCCCCTCTCTTGAATTAAACTGTTAAATCTGAAATTCTTGACATTGTACAAATGTGGAATGTCAGATTACTCAAGATAAGACAGTAAATGTTTTAGATCAGTGACTTTTTCCCCTGCTGCTAGCAGAGGTTCTTTACTCTTGGGAAATCTGACTCTTTAAATCTTGTTTCTCTTGATGTCTGGTAATAAACGTCTAGATGTCATAAGAGGGTTCCTGTATAAACTGTCCTGAGGTAGGGAAAAAAAGCTTTGTATATGTCTGTTTAGGGATGTCAGTAACACAGCTGGAGAGAACACAAATCCTGAAAACATAAAAGGCTGGTACTGTCAATCTCCAGTATTGCTTCTTCCTAAGTCAATTCTTTGCGAAGAGAGAATAAAATGCAATAGCTAGTTCATGCTGCAATTAAATATTGGGGGCGAGAGAGGCTTTTTCTGTACGTTAGAATAGCATTGCCACAAAGCAAGATTTCTAACATACTGCTTGATAATGATTACAGGGAACAAAAAGAAAGTTTTTAATCATTGTAGTGCATTCTGTGCAACTTAGTGTATCTGCTATCACAAGAGACAGGAACATTTTATTTGAATTGGGTGCAAAGCAAACTACCGTATTTTTCGCTCTATAACACGCACCTGACCATAACACGCACATAGTTTTGAGAGGAGGAAAACAAGAAAAAAAAATATTCTAAACGAAACAGTGGATGTATGATTTTTGTGGTTCATGCTGTGGCCACAGACATTTGATCTGACGGTGAGTTTGGGGTAGCCCAATGCAAAAATCCTGAGGATCCATGTGGATCCATGCTTTGTAACCACGTTTTTGCACCACTGCGGCCCCAGGCAACAGTGGGTGCGTGATTTTTTTGGTGCAGGCTGTAGCCATGGACATGCTATGTGATCTGATGGTGAATTTGGGGTGACCCAGTGCTAAAATCCTGAGGATCCATGTGGATCCGTGCTTTGTAACCAGGCTCTCTGTCCCTCTCTTCTCCCCACTAAGCAGCTCTTCTCCCGCTTTGCTGTTTCAAAGCGAGTCACGGAGGAGGGAAGGAAGGGGAACCATGGATCCTCTGCTCACGACTGCAGCAGATCCCCCCGCCATCCGTAGGCATTTGCTCCATAACACGCACAGACATTTCCCCTTACTTTCTAGGAGGAAAAAAGTGAGTGTTATGGAGCAAAAAATACGATAATTTGAGGTTATTTGAGGGGTAGGGAGCCTATTGCTATAAAATGGATTAAGACGACAAAAAAAATCAGTTTCTGCTTCAGCTGTTGACTAATTTGGAATGCAGGAAAAAATTAGTCTATTTGTACAACATAACTTAGTTTTGTTTTTGTTTTTTACTGTAATTTTCGAAAGGTAAAATGCTGCCTTTATTGGCATTTCTAACAGATGTTGGCTATTCTGTATCTTAAAAGCTGCTTGACTCTTTCACAAAGTAGCATGAGCAATACTCATAGTTGCTGTGCAGTATTCGTTCCTGCAATAGAGCTTCAAGTTATCTTGAAGGGAGACTCACACAAAGCAGACTTCTAAGAGAGGAAGCAACTATGAATTGAACTTATGTTTCAAGTCAGCTTCTTAGGGGGAAATCCTCAAGACCTTATCACTACTGTTAGTTTATGCTGGGAGGGGGGGACACAAAAGTTTTAAGCTAAACAGTGAGCCATAGCTTAATGCAATTACACAAATTTGCATATTTCTGCAACTCCTGCTCTCGCATAATTTATCATGGTTTTGCTAATCAGAGGAGGGGCAAGGACTTTGGAAAATTTCACAGATTTTAGCAGTCAGAAACGTGCTTTTAAAAAAAAGCAAGCCGAGATTATGAATAATAACTCCATGCTAAACACTATATTCTGTACTCTTGCAGAATTGTAGGAAACACACAGCCCTGACTACAGCTTGAATGTGTACACTTAAATCTTTTTAAAAAATGAATAAAGGGAAAATATTTATTTAAAGATAATAAAAATATTGGAAATAAAGAATTGGTTTGAATATTTTCATTTGAAGTATATAAAAAGTTAGGTCAGTAACTAACTTGGCTTGAAAAATTGTTAGTATAATTACAGGTGACTCAGAAGGAGTTATCTAAATTTTATGTGGTTTAATGGAGAATGAAAAGAATGAAAATGCGTTATTTGAAAGCCGAATGATCAAATTATTGTCAGGTAGTGATTAATGAAAATATAGAAAGAGCATTTTCATCATCATCATATAGTATTATTATTATTATTATTATTATTATTATTATTACCCACCCATCTGGCTGGGTTTCCCCAGCCACTCTGAGCAGCTCCCAACAGAATATTAAAAATACGATAAAATTTCATACATTAAAATTTTCCATAAACAGGGCTGCCTTCAGATGTCTTCTAAAAGTCAGATAGCTGTTTATTTCCTTGACATCTGATGGAAGGGCGCCACTACCAAGAAGGCCCTCTACCTGGTTCCCTGTAACCTCACTTCTTGTGGGAGGGAACCACCAGAAGGCCCTCGGAGCTGAACGATGGGGGTGGAGACGCTTCTTCAGATATACTGGGCCAAGGCACTTTGAATTTTGCTCAGAAATGTACCGGGAGCCAATGCAGGTCTTTCAGAACCAGTGTTATGTGGTCTCAATTAAAAATCTCAATCTCAACATGACTAAGTAAAATAAATAAGGATGCACTTGTGTTGGAGATGTGCTGAACCAATACCATATGGCTTTCCAGGTGGGCATGTAGAAATATTCAACAGCTCTGAAAGAAATCTGTCAAAATTATTAAGAATTGCCATGTGTGAATTTATTAATACCATTAAGGCTATTATATGGTTAGAATGAGGACCTGGTACCTAAAAGATAACAAATTCCTACAGCTTGAAGAAAGCCTGTGTTGAGCTGAAACGCATCTGTTAAAATTGGAATATATTTTCATGGAAATATAGCTCTGTTGGTAGAGCATGAGGCTCTTAATTTCATGATTGTGGGTTCAAGCCCCATTGCACAGGGTTCGACTAGATGATCTTTGGTGCCTTTCAACTGCAATTCTATGGTTCTAAGTTTCTGGTATAATGTAATATTAATGGGTTATTTTATATAGAGCATATGATTTATAACCATTATTGACTGACTAAAACAATAAGAAAATACTGGGGGGGGGGGGTTAATCTCAGTTTTCAGTTACCTCGTCTTTATGTTATTTCTCCTGTTATTGAGAGTTTCCTTTTAAGTAGATTATATATATTTCATTCTGGTGTTGCTTTTATGACCGAGAATTTTTAAATATATCTTGGAATGTTCAGGTTATTACTTGACAAAACCTTTACTGAATTTGCTGAAAAGTAGAAAACTGATAAAATAGACACCAATAAAGAATGAATGTCTTTTCACCTCTCAGCTAGGACTTGTTCATTACAAGGAATAGAACTGTAAATTGACATGCAGATTTTCAGTCTGCATTTAAAGAAAGCCATCCTGATGCCCTAGAGAGTGATTTAATTTATTTTAACTGAAAAACCTTTGAAATTGCTAGGCTTGCCTAATATTTATTTGTAGTTTGCTGCTAATGAACTTAGGAAATGGAAATAAATTCCTTAGAAAAATGAAGCACTGGGAAATTTCCCATTTCACTTCACTGACAGTAAAGGGATCTATGCCAATGTGACTGAAGCAGGGCATTTCTTTGAGAGGGGATGAGAGTCTTGCACTTGGGAAAACTGGCCAAACATGCTAAGGATAGAACTGGAACAGTTCCTTTCAAAAAGCCTAGGTGTGTCTCAGCTGGGCTGGTTGAAATATCTTGTGGCATCCCCAAGAACTGTCCTCCGCTTGAGGCGGAAGTGCTTCTGAACACATAAGCTACAGGTGCCCGTTAATGTTTTAATCATTGAACAGTTCATCGTCCGTGTGTTTTCTTGCCAGGGCAAACCTACAAAGTGAACTGAGCTTATGCAGAACTTATATTTAAAGTGCATCAGTTGCATTTGCACTGTAATACTCTCTGTTTTGATGACGTTTCCTTCATGTTTCTTGTAGGATATTCAGTCAGAAGAAGGCTGCAATTGAGAGAGAATATGCCCAGGTAAGTCGCAGAATAACTCCGTGCTGATTGTCTGAGGACTGGCAAAGTGTCTCTTTTCCTCTGCTCCAAGTCTCCTGCTCCCCTCCCATCCAACCAAAAAAAGCCCGTCCTGGTGACATGGCCACTGCCAACAAGGCAGACCCAGAAAAGGTAGCAGCGGTGCCACAAAAATTAGGTACAGAGAAACTTACTAACCTCCACATTCCTAGCAGTAGGAATGTTTTTGTTGCATACAGGTTCTTGCTGATGATCTGTTCCCTCGCCTCAAGACATTTGGGGTTCCTTATTCCAGTGCACTTAAGATAGGGATCGGCAACCCAAGGCCCATGGGCCGGTAGCGGCCCACGAGGCTTGTCTAACTGGCCCATGGCGACCCCCGCTGCCCGCTCTTCTCAGCGCAGCACGGGGACCAACTTCCGGGGTGATGGTGCCTGTGCGCACGAGTGCTCCTCCGCCCCGGATGTGCGCCGGAAATAGCGTGTGTGCACACGTGCAGGACAGAGAAGCGCCCAGCACCTGTGCGCATGCACACACGCTATTTCTGGCGCTCTTCCGGGTCAGAGGAGCGCTGGAAATAGTGTATGCGCACGCACACTGGCCCTCCTCTGACCCGGAAGAGCGCGCATGCGCACACGCTCCAGCCCATCCTCCGACGGACGGAGCGTCGACCGGCCCATCCTCCGATTAAGGTTGCCGACCTCTGACTTACGAGTTGCATAACGCGGCCCTGCCTTCAGTGTTCTGCACATTGTAGTCTATTCTTAGTACACTTATTGCTTGATCCAGTGTGGTGCTGTTGAATGGCTTTGGACCTCTGAAACCTAGGGATAAATTTCCTTCACCACGAAGTCCCTAAATAGCTTTGAGAAATGCAGGGGCTGCCTCATTAAAACAGAAATAGGGGCACTCTTCTCAGGCTCTCTTAAGAAGATGAATTTCGCGAGAAATTGGATATCCTTTGCACATTATATCCCACGTGAACAATAAATAATACCAACAGAACTACTGAAAATGCTTCACGGATGCACACATTTAACTATTCTGGTTTAATTTGGTGCAACTGAACTATTCATGTGTCTGCAAGTGTCTATGCTTTGCTGGCATGCTGACCATCAGCTCGTTAGGCGAATTCGGACACTAAATAAAAACATTTTCTATCCTGTCTGTCTGTCTGCAACATATCTGAAATTCATTTTCATTATTTCTGACAAGGAATACATGTATAATGCCTGCTGGTCGCAGTTCTGTCAGACTTGTCACATCCCCCCCCCCCTTTGTGTCTCCCCTTCTGCTATCTTACGGTCTGTCAATTACCAAACATTTATCTTCAGTTGTTTGTTGTTTGAAGGCAGGGGAAGAGTTATTGAGGGGAAATGTAGCTTGCCAATAAATTTTGAGTGGCATGTTGAAGACCACAAGCAGTGAAGAACAGACCTCATCGTGAAACATTTGGCTTCAGCGAGTCCCTCTTATTGCCCCTTCCGTCGGACAGAAATAGTAACCTTTTTTCTTGCTCTTCAGAAAACGAAATGGTACAGATGAAATAAACTGCTTTGTGTGAGTTCTTTGGTGCTGTGCCAGCCGTGTCTTGTTGGAAACAAAGAAATGGCAGTGTTTTGTCATTTAAGTCCTATAATAAAACATACTGAATTGCAAAGGCTGTACTCTTTCATGGTCAAAACTGTGTCGATTGAAGGAACATGTGCCAGAATTTCTGAGCAGTAGGAGACCTTGAAGCGGATTGAAACATGAATTGGATGGAATATGTCCATCCTTCAGGCATAGGTGTTTGTGTATAGTCCTGCTGGGGCCCTTTTCTGTAGCAGTAGTTAAACTATAAAGTTGGCCATGGTTACCATACATTTAGTACAAATTAAGCCAGACTTTTATTGACCATCCTAAGGACGCCCCTGATTTAGTGAGCAGGATTTTACAGGAGACCCCACCAGATGCACTGGATGGCTACAAGCACAGCTGAGCAAGATGGTTTGAACAGTGCTTTTTTTCTTAGTCTAGGGAATATAAGGGGCATAGTGAACTCCTTAAAGCCTGTTTCCCCTCACTGCAGTGCTAGAAGCAGTGCTTTCAGTCGCAGAGAAATCCAGAAAGTGTTGACAGCTAAAGAAAACAGAGAGAATGTTTAAGTTAAATCTGTTGTAAATGATTATTCAGTATATAAGGTCCTAAGTGTACAGTAGCTGACTTGTTTGGCTTTGAGCAGATAAAAAGCCTTCTATCAGCCCAGCTCTCCAGCCTTACCCTCCCAAGGAAAGAAAAGGGGGGAGAGCGGAAATATAAGGGTGGCCAAGTCGACTCAGGAAAGTGGCCTGTGCCAGCTGCCAAGTAATAAAAAGGCAGGCTCCTAATCTGACAAATATTTGCTACCTGCAGAGAGAAGTTCCTGTAGGGCCAAAGGTAGTGGGTTATATTTGGCCGACCATCGTGAAGGCTGCAGAGCTGCATCTGCCATTGTCATAATTATCTTAAGCAATTCAGGATCAAATTCCCATTCCTCACCTGAAGTGTAAACATTCACTTGGATAGCCTTATTTCATTAACAAAACTAGAACCCCCCCCCCTTTTTTTGCAATTAATGCTGGAGGGAGCATGCAATATCACTGAGATCTGAATCCACTAGTGTGACTTAAGGCTGCAAATTCTATGCAGTTCCTAGGAGTTTATCTTATTGAACTCCGTGGGAATTTCCTCTTGGTCAGTGTGCGTGAGATTATAGTGCGAGGCAAGTTAAGATCTGGGTTGCTGTCCAGAAAAGAAAAATACTTACTGAATGAAAGTATTGGATTTAAGTTAAAAACCCACCTTCTGCATCTTTCAGTTACAGCACGTTACTGAACTTGTTGGCATAATGGTAGTGCAACCCATCATGCCATCTCTGTCTAGTAGAACTTGCATTCTCCAGCTTTTCATGGATCCTTTAAGAGTGCTTTTACAGGAAAGGCACACACATCCATTGCCCAGTGATCTGAGGACCACTCCGCCCTGGCTTTGTTTGAACATATTGCATAGAGTGGCATCAGTTTCATGTGGATACCCATTTGGACATCTAGAAAACTTTAAAAACTCATATATTTAACTTAAGATGCATGCCCTGGTGGTTACTGTATCTTTAATGTGAACTGATCATAGTGGTTTTTTATTACTATTAGTTTTATTTATATCTTACATTTTTTTTTCTTTCTTAAATTTCCAAATAATAAAGGGTGTGTGTGCTTGGTGCTTAATATTTTAAAATTAAAAGTCCAAATTCTGTGCAGTGGGGTGGTACATTTTTGCAACCTGAACTATTGTGTCTTGCCTATTAGACACAAGTTTGTCTTCTGCTAATGTCACAAGGAAGAACACAGAGCATTGCAGACTTCCACTAGGACCTGTTTGGCGTGTTCTTCCCCAGGGTGTTCTGAGATTTCACTAAGCGCTTCGAATATTGTCATAACTTTCTCTGTAGCCCTAAGGTCCTTCTTTTTTCTTTTAAAAAAGATTATACCCTAATTTGAAGGAGTGCTGCATTTAGTGATAAGGTTCAAACTCCAGTTCAAATGGCCAGAAGACTGACTGCCGTGAGCAATGTGATCTTATTTAGCCACTACAATGGGGTAAAGGAAATATGCTTAGATTTTTCTTCCCCTTTCATAATTTCTGTGCTATGAAGTCATCTGTTAAGGGTTTTAAATTGTGTGTGAAAGATCATGGTTCAGATCCCAGGGACTGGTGAACTTCCTGTGCAAAAGTTATTTTGTTCGGTGTGAGAGAGATAACATATAGCTTAATGTCTTCCACACTGAACAAAATATTTCATACAAAATTTAAAACCCTTAACAGATGATTTCATTATAACTCTGCTGGTTAATTGCAAACTATAGAGAAAGAAATCATGCGTACACTGACTTTAGGAACGACTGGCTGAAAGTCAC